AGAATATGAGAATGCCACATAATGAGATAAAATTTATCAACGATCAATGATTAAGGAAAAGTTACAGTAAAGTACCCAGTAATTGCGACTCTCTTGAAATAACACAAAACCTATTTTACGAGCAAATCCTCTTTCATTGAAATGAAAAAAGAATACAGTTAAGTCTCTCTTAGTCTAACGTTTACTTTTATAGTTATAAAAGCGTGCGACTAACAAGTAACTTGTAATACCCTACTGTAACAACTTTGAAGGTGGCTGTATATGAATTTAGTCCCAATTAATGATACCTAACTGTAAATTCAGGCAAATTTCATCAAATTTCATTTAAATTTCTTCAATTACCAATTGATTCGATTTTCTTTCGTAAAATATTGATAAAAAACTCACAAAATCATCTTAAATGAACGTAAAACGAAAAAATTCTATCTATTAAGGGAGAATTGAAAATCATGAAATTAGTTTCTCGATGAATAGTGAAAATAAACTACTCCAAAGTTTTCACATTATCTGCGATCTAACGATAATATTGTAAAGATAATCTTGCTTCCCCTCGTTTTGACCCCTGATTGTCTCACTTAACCTAATATTCCTTCATAGCTTGAGGGCAAACATCTGTACTGTCCTTGAAGAGCAATAAACTACTTCCCTAAGTTTCTTCTTTTGACCCTACCCCTGTTTGTTCCTGGAAGCTTATATAGCCCAAACATTTACGCTCAGATCTCTTTCTCTTTATATTGTGAAGCTAGAGTTTCCTCCCCCTTTCTTTCCCTCTTTTCTTGTTTACTACTTGTTTACTGTTTACAACCATAAAACCATTCCTTTTTTTCCCTATCTTTCCTTTTCTATTCTCCCCCCCTTCTTGTTGTTTATGGCCTACTATAGCCTAAGGGCAAACATCTGCACTCAAGATGTTCTTCCTTATCTCCCTTATTTTTCTTCCTGGCAACAAGGGAATTATTATCTTGAAAAGTAGAACAGTAGTGGAGGCGAGAAGCTGAAGTTAAAGATTGTAAAAAGTGGTATTCAACAATAAAGCATCTTAACTTTATTTTTAAGTGTGTCTTTTTTTCCTTTTTAGTTATTCCTTTTTTCTTTTATCCTTTTCTCGGACATACTTATGTCTTTACATGGAGGTTCCACCGAGATCTTGGTAATCTGTTGAGATTCTACGGAAAAGAATCTAAAGTTCGCTTAACAGACCCAAGTTCATAACAAATTCAATTGTATTTTCTTGTGTGTTTTAAATAGTAATCACTGTTACATCTTTAATATGACAAGCCCTAACTCTGATTCTGGTTCAAATCGAACCACCGTTCATCAGACAATAATTCCTAGAGGTCCAAAAATTCAGAACTTTGATGGTTCAAACCGAGTCAATCAGTTCATAGCTGATTTTGAGAGTCTCGCCTTGGCCTATGATTGGGACGATCGAGGCAAGGTTAATCATGTGCCCATGTACCTCGAAGGCTCTGCCAAAAAGTGGTTTGCCCAAGAAGGGAAATCGCGACTTGCGACTATCACTTGGGAAATTTTTGTGAGTGAATTGCGAAATTTCTTTCTTCCTTCCGATTATATGACTTGCCTTCGTGATGAGCTGAGGAACCGTCGCCAACGTAAAAGTGAACCTGTGTCCTCCTACATCGTGGATGTGAGGAATTTGTGTAACAACGTAAATCCTGACATTACAGAGAAAGAAATTGTGGAGTTTCTGTTTGCTGGACTGCTTCCACAATTAAAGAGTAAAGTTCTCGAATGGGAACATACAACCATTCCTACTTTCATCGATTGTGCCAAGAAAGCCGAGAGGTCACTGTCCATTTCAGGTGATGGTGATTCATTAGGTTTATCCGTGAGGTCAACGAATGAACAATTGGAACAACTGACGGACTTGGTAGAAACTCTACAGTTGGATATACAACGGAATAAGCAACAGAGTGAGACTACCTTTTTGACCCGCACTGGTTCTATTAGAGAAAGAACCGTCGACAGTCGACCGGTCTGTTGGAGGTGTAATCGCCCTGGACATCATCAAAGTAATTGTAGATTTAATCGATCTTTCAGAAATAATTTCCAACCTCAATATCCTCCAAATCAACCACCTTATGATCACCAGCATAATCAGTTATCACCCAATTCACAACCGTTTTATAACCAATACCGTCCACCACATTATCCACCTGCTCAATATCAATATCCACGGGCCCAACAACCACAGAATCCATATCAACAGTACCGCAGCGAGGGACCTTCATATCCTCCAGGTAATAGAGGCCGTGAAAATTTCTCACAGCCAAATTATGCCGCTCCTCCTCGAAATCATAACTTCCAAAATAACCATCCCAATCATACCGTGCACCGAATTCCAAATTCTAATGAGCCAAGGTCTCCAACAAATCATCTAATCTCAGAAGAAGAAACAGTGAACCCGAGGGACAGACACATCTTTTGTGAAACCCGTGTAGGGTCAGTTTCAGTGCGTGCTATGGTTGACACAGGTTCAGTGGTGTCAATCATAAAGCGATCCAATTTACCTCATCCTGGAGCCATCTTCAATTACACCGGTCCAGGAATCAAATCAGCAAGCGGCCATACTGGTCTTAAACAGTTCCTTTTAATAAGGAGAAAACGTGTATTATTAGGCTGTTCGGGTGAGAATGAGCCCTTTTTTATTGCTTATTACTCAATTATTAGTGATCTAATCTCTTTCGATATGAAAATGTTTCGTACAGTTTTTCTTCTACTTTTTATTGCGGTAAAACACATAGTGTTATGAGCGAAGATTCGACAGAAAAAGGTCGAAAGGTCATTTTTTATGGAAAAATGCTCGAAATAGTGAATTTTTCGGTTTTATTCAGTTGTAAACTGTTATCTATCCATTGAATGGTATGAAGATCCTAGAATCAAGTCTAGTCTTACAGAAAAACTATCAAAAGTTAGATTATAGCACTCGATTCGATAGTTATATCGATTCGAACATGGTAAGTCACGTTTACATTAACTACGCTGTAGAAGAAAAGAAAAAAACGCAATCAAATGATAATTTTGCGGAATGGGAGTTCGATCCTTAGGCTATCTTGCGAGCAGCATTACGTAGTTGTAATGCTTCATGGAGCGGCTGTAGACCAATTCAATCGAAAAGCGGCAAACGGCCTAAATCGCGATGACCTTTAAAACAGCACTTCAAAACTAAAATAAAAGTTGAATTGTAAATTTTGAGCTGATTTGAATAATATATTTTTACGAAAAAAGCGATTGGTTGTACTAACTTATCGAAAAATCATTCCAAAATGCGTCGGGCTCAAAATGACGCGAACAACCTAATAATTTAAAAATTTCTATTCTCGAACTTAAAATTCTCCCATAGGATTAACATTGGCAGGTTTTGTCCACTTTTTCAACTTTTGTTCACTGAATATTTCGTAAACTACTGAACCAATTTCGGCCATACTGGTCTTAAACAGTTCCATTTAATAAGGAGAAAACGTTTATTGACTTAAAAATTTCAATATTAAAATTTTCAATTAACTTGACACAATTATTTCACAAAGAAAAATTCAAATTTTTATTAAATCAAAATGTTTACAGCGGTCAAAAATTCATGCTCTTTGTTTATTTACCTTTACCCGGTTTTCTTCCTGAATTGGTTGTTCGTAAATCAGGAGGCTCAATGTATTCGTCCATTTCCATTGATCCTGGGCAATTGTATTCGGGTTTACAACCGAAGAATTCGCAGTTGTGGCGTACGGAACCCCTCGCACCACAACCTCGCGTCTCGTGTTCGATAGTTCGGTCTCGTCGGGTGTACCCTCGAGAACAAAATCTACATTTAAATTTAGGGACAACCTCTTCTTCGGGTGTGTACTCATTCAACAATTTGAGATCGGCCGCAGTAGTTTTTTTTAAGTTGATGTGTTTTGAATAATTAACAATGTCCGACATCCTAACAGGGGTGTCCTCCCAAGTTACTCTGCACCAAACATCCACTGAATCATCTCCTTTTCTTTTAGCAAGAAAAGCGTGCGAAACACTTTTTATTTCAAAATTGCCCGTTGTTGGAGCAGCAGCCAAATCACTTGTTGTAGGGTTTCCAGGCACATCCATTTTATTATAAATTGTAGGGTTTTAACTAAAACGACTGTTTTAACTTAAACAAAGCAAGACACAACTGAATAATAAATAATAGGGTTGAAGGTCAACTTATATGTTGTTGGTTTGGCTCCAAAAGGGACTTTGGAGTGGTTGTAGTAGGGGAATGTGTGAAGCTAGAGTTTCCTCCCCCTTTCTTTCCCTCTTTTCTTGTTTACTACTTGTTTACTGTTTACAACCATAAAACCATTCCTTTTTTCCCTATCTTTCCTTTTCTATTCTCCCCCCTTCTTGTTGTTTATGGCCTGCTATAGCCTAAGGGCAAACATCTGCACTCAAGATGTTCTTCCTTATCTCCCTTATTTTTCTTCCTGGCAACAAGGGAATTATTATCTTGAAAAGTAGAACAGTAGCGGAGGCGAGAAGCTGAAGTTAAAGATTGGAAAAAGTGGTATTCAACAATAAAGCATCTCAACTTTATTTTTAAGTGTGTCTTTTTTTCCTTTTTAGTTATTCCTTTTTTCTTTTATCCTTTTCTCGGACATACTTATGTCTTTACAATATGAGATATCTTAGATATTGAAAAGAAGCAACAAGTGAATTGGCAGTTGGGTAGAAGCGAAGCTTCGAGAAATCTTAAAATTCCAAAATAAAGTTCTATGTGCTAACCCCCTCTCTTTTTCCTACCAGAATGCCCTTTATTTTGTTCACTCACTACATATCCTGTGGGTAAACATCTTGACAAAACCATAAAAACCTCTCCTTGTTGATCTCTGCCCTTTTTTTCTAGAAAATTAAATGTCCTGAGGGCAAACATTGGCGAAATTTTTCTTATTTTTCTTGTTCCTTAGAAACAAAGTCAACTCTTACTAATCTATTAATACATTACAACTGCTGTGTTAAGTTGCATTTAAGTCTCTTTTCAAATGAAGATTCAATTCTATTTACAACTGTAATGCTTATAATGAAGTTATTTGTAAAGTGATCTGTAAGTTAGCAAAGTGTAAAACTAGTTGTGTGTATGGATAAGTAAATGAATAAGTATTGAGAGTAAAAATAAGATGATTAACATTTAGCTTTTTAAAGCAACGTCGGACAATTGCAACATACTACAAAATATTGTAAAGACTGTCACTTTTTTCTCTACTGCCTACCCCTTTTGTCTTGCGCCCTCAGGCCTTCTCGATAGCCTAAGGGCAAACATTTTATTGTTTACTCCAGTTTATTGCTTTGTTTATTCTCTTTTTGTTTCTTATTAGTCTTTATCCCTACATATCCGGAGGGCAAGCCTCGTCAAAAAGTCTTATCTCTCCCCTCCCTAAAAAGCAACAAAAAACAGCAGAAAGGAAAGGACTTTGAAAGAAGAAACTTCTCTCTGACCTCGTTATCCATATTTCCGTTTTTTGAACCAAAACAAGATTAGCGGATTTTACATTTTGAAGTTTGTTGAAGTTACATTTGGTTTTTATTTTAATTAATATATTAGGGATGGAACTTAAAATGTCTCCACAATATTGCAGCAACAATTAAAGTGTCAAGATAATCAGAGTTGAAAACAAGTAAGATGAGCAGATTTGAGTGACTGATGACCCCTCCAAATTAAAACTCAATTGCTGATGCAATCATTCTCTTAATTTACGCAGCAAACCTGGAAAAGTTTTATGACTTCCCTTCTTCCTACAGAATCCTATTTAAACGTATCGACAGCAGGCCAAAAGAAAACACAAAACATCTTCACATGGAAAAACAAAAGAAAAAAGTTTGTTATCTTTTCTATTTAAGCTTAAGTGTCTTCTTTCTGTCTTATTTGCCAACTCTCTTGTTTCTTTATGATTTGGAAGATGAGGAAAGGTTCGCAAATATTTGCCTTGAGGCTATTAAAGTTTCTAGAAACAAAATGGCGAAGGTAAACAAGTAGAGGTTCTTAAGTATTTGTCAAGATGTTTACCCTCAGGCTATGTAGTGAGTAAACAATATAAAGGGCATTAGTCTAGAGACAAGAAATAAGATTAGCACTATCTAAAAGAAAAGATACTTCTTCAAAATTTATTAGAGTAAATATTTAGATCTTCGTGCTTCATGAGTGGTGTATCCTGGACCTTATAAACCCTTATCAATCTTATCTTGAAAGCAACAAGAGATTTGGCAAATAAGACAGAAAGAAGAGATTTAAGCTTAAATAGTAAAGATAACCAATTTTTCCATGCGGTTTCCCCAGATGAAACGGTTTTAACTAGATAAATCTCAACCATTTGTTGTATTATATCCTTTTCTTCATTTTTTACTAAGAATATTGTAAAGGCAATAAAGATTTTAAACAAAAAAGTCGGGCACAAAGTTAACTTTATTGCTGCAATTTTACCTCTGCCCATTAGGCTGGTTAGGTAACTCCAGGAGAGTCCTAGGCCAACTGAGTATTTTAATCAGAATTCTTATACATATATCTAAGTTACAGTTTTCCCTATCGATCGGGGAACAACTAGGGCGTAAATATTATTTCGCACATTAAATTCATAACTCATTAGTTTAGTATAATTTTGGGTGTGCTACACTTGTTTTAAACCATATCTCAATTTGGTCATCCTGCTGAGTTGCTTTTGATCAATTTTTGTCCCTTAACTTATTTTTATTCATTTTGTTTGTTTCCATTTTTACACAGGTTCCAATCAGCATTCAATCAACATCAACTTTATGATTTCTAGGAGCCACAATAATGTAAAAATAATAATTCCTCCTGTTCCAATGGATCCCACGGAAGGTGCACGACCCTGTCGTAACCCCAAAACAGAATCGGATTCGGTTAACACTCCTGGCTGCTGACAAAAGACAAGGATCATTGTTCGACCACCGGTCAGGTCACTGGTTAGTTTCATGATGATGATGATGATGATGATGATAGCCAACCAGGGTCAGTTTCACGGGCGGTGCATTTGGTGCAGGTATTTTAAGACCGAGTCGTAATTCTTCAACTTCTACACCCGAAAGGTCGCCCAGGCGAACACAGGATCGGACATACAGACGGTCGCCCGCCCGAAACCCGGGTACGTCGCTCGTAGGTGCCCCATCGGTGCTCGAGTCGAGGTACTCGTGGCTGAGCAAACGTACCGGCAACTACTTGACTCACTACTCGTTGAACGAGTACGTCAAAATCAATGGCTGGGGATTCAAGCACTTTACTGGGCTCGCCCATTACAGTAGCGGGGATGTTACCTAAGAGTTACGGATCGGGCACAATGAGAGAAAAAACAGTAAAATAGGGTAAAAGTTGACAAGACTGAGTTCGTGGTGTAGCGAAAATACTATACCACTCTCGGTGGAGCCTCAAAATGTAAAGGCAATAAAGATTTTAAACAAAAAGTCGGGCACAAAGTTAGCTTTATTGCTGCAATTTCACCACTACCCATTAGGCTGGTTATCAGTGAGTTTAAATAGGGTTGTGGAGGAGGGAAGGGTGGCAATAAAACCTTTTCTCGGAATTGTTTACAGTGAAATTGGAGACGCTAATGGAACCGGGTACAGAGAGATTGCGTCAAGGTCCAAGGACCAAGTTTCTAAGAAAACACTACACATTAAACTTTACAATATAACTATAAAGTCTCCAACTAATCAAATTCAAGATTAGTTGCTTATTAAACTGATTTCTTGAGTTTCTTCATTGGTATTTGGCGAAAAAAAATTAGATTTAGTTAATTAATAATCAAAGAAATTTCAAGAAAATTTCAATTTGATGCAACTCTTCCATTGAGGGGTCGCTGAAAAATTGATTCCCATTATCTGATACCTTACTGTAGCTTCATTGCACAAATTGCAGGTGTAAATAACTTTTACTTCTTTTCTTGCGAGTTCTAACTCAACTAAACTTTTATTCTGAATCTTCAATATAACTTATACATTGCTCTTCAACAATCATGGAATATAACCATAAAATCAATAAGGGTGGAGATAGATGTAATATCTTTCATTCATTATTTTGGTGTATTACATAGGAAACAATTGATCATCAGTCTTAGTTTTTCAAAGAGTTTGTTCAGCAAATGTATTTGTATTTGTTATGCCCAAAAATAGCAATTAAAAAAACGATTAGTATGTGTAAATTTGCCAATTTATTGACAAATTGATGATTGAATTTTGTACATACCCATCTTTTGATCGCCGTAACAAGCGAAGTCTTCATTTTATTTTAACGTTGTCTCTTTATGGAATAAAGTCAAGAGTTTTTGTTTTTTCAGCTTATATCGGTTTTTATATGAATTTGGGGTTTTTCAATTCAAATCGATTGTAAATAAGCCCTCAATAGGCAAAAAGCAGCCGGAATTATGGGAATTGAATTAATTATGATAGTCAGGCAATACAAACAATATTTCAATTCAAAATTTTATGTAGCATTATTCATGCTTAAGAACAGGGTTCCTAGTTTCTTTCATCTACTTGTCACATTCAACAAAATAATTTGAATGATCAACAGGAGTTATTAAAATTTAATTTGCTCACACAATGCTGTCACACATCAAATTTTACTTGATTAATTTGAATTATTATTTACTATTCAAATCAATGCAAACTTTGCTTTTATTAAATGTAATTTTAAACGCTCATAGTTTATTAAAACAACGTTGAAAGCATTTGAGGTGCTTTCGATTACGATTAAGAGATTTGTATATAACAAGATAATATTGAGAGTTTCTCAGATAATTTCGATTACGATTTAGAAATTAGAAGTTATTAAATTAATTGTTATTGCTATGAGTTGATTCATCGACCTGCCTTGACCATGTAATTGTTTGCGATTGGGCGGCTGTTGCATTGTTTGTCCTTAATTTGTTGTTTACTTTCAAATAAATGTATTCCCCGACAAAACCATAAACTAATCCAACAGCTAAGCAAACGACCAAAACAATGGCTAAGATACTTCCACCAGCAGAGGTGACGGTCGAGGCTTCAGCTTTTACATCATCAGATTTCCTTTCAACCAATTCGTAATTGAAACAATTGATAGCTGATCTTGGAGCAGGATCTTGAATCATCTTGGATATTGTTTTTTGTGATAACTGGCAAGTTGACTGAGCTCGGTTTTTAGGGCAGTAATTAAATGAATGGCATTTATCATCTCCAGAAACATAATCGAAACATAGGGAAGCACATTGATCTAAGTTGACTCCTGTCTCAACGAACATCACTTCATCAACGAGGTGATTCCCAGTTATTTTGAAATTTTCAGTCTTTTTTACTGTGGATGAAAAATAAAAATTATTAATCTCACTAATCTTAATGTCCCTATAATTTAAATAGGCTTTTGATATTAAGAATATTTGTATTGAATATTTGTATTTTATACAGAGAGGACAGTCTTTGTTTTATCTTTGTATATCTTACATTGACCTCATACTTACACGTATATGAATCACACTTAGCGTCTGGACTGGATAATCGGTCCAAATAAATATCATCACTTAATGCACAGACTTTATCACAATAGTCAAAGGATTTACAATTAGCAGAAGCAGCACACTTAGCAGCACATTGCTCAGCAGTTATGACGAGCTCTTTAACCCCAGAGTGTAGCAATTGACGTCCTTTAATTTTTACAAAATCAAAAATATGATTTTTACTGTATACAGTACAATGGTCATCAGCTTCAATAGCATCCCTCACTTTTTCATCGCCGCCAACCAGCAACATTTGACTGGTCAATTGACATGAAACTTTTGATTGGTCCTTGGGATTAATGCAGAATGAGAAACTTGTACAATCTATTGCTTCAGATGTTTCACAAATGTAATAACAATCACCTAATGTTTTTATCGATTGATCAGGAGTGTAGACCAAGGGATTATTAGAGTTTAATTTATACGAGGAAAATAATTGATCAAAAAGAAGCTTAGAAGACTTGACATCTTTAGAGACATCTGAATAGATGATGTTGGAAATGATGAAATCAAATAATCTTGCTTTATTGTCAGTCGGGCCAACGCTGAAGATTTTGCTAGTTACTCGGGCCAACAAGCTATCATGTAAAGTTGATAGATCAGTTTCATCGACTAGATCACGTAAATTACCCACTGGATGGCTGTATATTTCACATGCTATAGAATCTTCACCTTGAGATTCTATTAAAGTTGAAACATCCATGATAGGAGCGCACCGCTGTTCATTTTTCGTCTTTGGATCTTTACACCAAGCAATTGAGCTGCAAAATCAGAAAAAATTACAAATGTAACACACCCAAAATAATTTAGTTGATTTTATGTAGTACACCCTTATTGATTTTGTGATTATGTTAGTGACTAATGTATAAGCTTATATAATGAAGATAAAGACTAAAATGTTCAGTTCAGTTGGAACTCTCAGCAAAATAAGTTGAAATTCTTTTCACAAAATTAAAACTTAAGAATTGCAAACACATTTGTAGTGATTATCCAAACTTGTAACATTGTCTAAATACTGGAATCCTTTCCTCAATAATTAAAACTTAACCTTACCTTACTTTGCTGTAATGAGCAACTTTGGATACACAATCGAATAACGTTTTTACTTCATCTGCATATGGCTTGATTGAGTTTCTAGAAATTTGTTTATTTTGTCGTATCAGACCATCTAGAATGAAAAAAGAAGAAGAATTATGAATAACTGGGAAGTTTGTATATTAATGATAATACCTGTTAGTTTTGGTTTCTCTGTAAACAGAACATGAGCTGAGATGGAGTTTTGTGAAAAATCAAAATCAATGTTGTTTATTCTCAGTGGTGATAGAGGAATCGACTTAACAATTAAGTCACGAATGCCTTTTCGTAGCATGATTAAATTTTGTTCAGCTGTTTTTAATGCCTCCTTAATTTTATCAACGTCTGTTTGATGAATAAAGTACAATTTGAGATCAGTGTATTGGATTGCAGGTACAAGCAAACTAAATTGTTGTGCTTCTAGATTTACTCACCAATTGGTCTTAATTCAAATATCAACCATAACTTATCTTTTTCTTTACTATCACAATCAGAAAATTGGAACAGTGTTTGATATTCCGATTCTGAAATTGTTTCATAAAAATCGTAGACATCTCGTCTCGTGGTTTCTTCAAGTTGATAATTTTTCTATCAGAATATAAAAAATGATTAGTATCTTTCAAAAGTAAAGTAGCCCAATTAATTAAACTTACTTCAACGTCTAAACTATAAAGTTTCCTGGTCATACCAAGTAGTATCTTATGATCGTTACTAGGAATGGGGAAAGAAATGTCGATCTAATTATTCAAAAAAACAAATGTCAGTGAATTAAGCGTTAGATAATAGTTAATTTTAAGCACTTGGTAAAATTATACAACTTACTTTATCAGCGAAATATTGAGTTGTGACTATTTTGGCATATTTAGTTCCTTCATAAGAAGCATCATACTCAATTTTTTCCCAAACATGAGCAATTACTCCATTCCTTTGTTCCTAATTATAACCAAAAATTTGATAAAATAAAACAAATTACAATGGCAACAGTTTTACTTACAAATAAAATTTTCCCAAGATATTTGAAAGATCCTCTCTGCCATAATAGTTCTTGGGCGTCAAATTTACCATCAACAACGCCAATATCATCGACTGTCATAGGAGCAATAGTGCAGCGTGGTTGCTCAAAAGCGAATGAAATCCCAGAATTGTAATCATAAATGGTTTCCAAAAGAGCATCCCCATAATCAACGATATAGCGCACAATTTTAGCTGAAGCATCGACAAATAGCTAGATTATAGACCAGAAAATGAAAATAATTTTTGCTCTTTAAAAATATTACGACGAAAAAATACCTCTAAATCAATCTGGCTGACGTCACTTTCAGAGGACTCTGAACTTTGATATGTGTATTCAACAGCGGAAAGATGGAAAATATCGGTAAGACCAATAATATCTTTGCTTGGAAATGGCATATTTTTCGTCGGATACTCAGCACATCCAATTCCTGGAGTTGGCTAATCAATTGATTAAAAAAATTATTAATTTACCATTATTGAAAAACATACAATCTCTTGCTAATAGCCATAAATCATTATTAAGCCATTGCTTTGAGAGAGAGAATAGACAAAAAATTGTTCGCTTACCGCAACATCATAACTCAAATCATCTAAATATTCCGTCAAATAGTGATCAATCGTAAAAGACTCACTTTGTCCAAGAAAAATTCCTTCAAAATCAATTCGATTTGGATCTTGGTAAGCATTTGATGCTATGTAAAAAATTAGATATTATAAGAAAAGGCTGAAATAATTTTACCAAATACTAACCTTGCTTATAGACAGTCACATTCAAATCAGACTCAATCTTTGCGAATTTAGAGTCCACCTGGATTCCTCTGACAACTGCAGATCCACCGTCTTGCTAAAGATAAAGTAGAGATGTTTTTAATAAGAACCATGACTATAGCTTTAAAAACCAATCAATACCCAGAATATTGGTGCTTCTCCACTTGGCGTATTTATCAATGATGCCTGTATTCGGAAATAAATTGAAGGACCAAGCATAATTAAGATTTTTTCCAGCTCGCTGCTTATATCGGGTAACTTTTGATTCCATTTTCGGTTATAATAATTGAACACTTGACAATCACTATCTATAGCATTGAAAAAAGAAAGAAAAACAAATTAATATCACAGATTGATCAAGAAAAATGGTTTGTTTACCTGTCATTACCACACGAAAGTCATCACGTTCATCGTAAAAAATAGTGTAACTCTGAGAGCCTCTGACAACTTCAATCTTTCCTTTGCGATTGTCTTTTGAAGAACTGTATTCTTCCATATAAGTAACATGATTTGTATTCTGATGAGAAAGAAAACGTAAAATGAATAATAAACACAATAATGAAACATAAACAAATCAAAAGTGTAAACACTTATTTTATAGATCTACTTACCCTATTAGTCAAAGTAGCGATCAAATGAGATTCACGAAAAGGCACAAACTCGGGCAAATTTAATGGGACGTCTTCAACATGGAAAGAATTAAATTAAATCAAAATATGAATGAATGTTAAAATTAACCAAAACAAAGATCAGACTAATTCCCCTTGTAATGCTTGTACAAATTTCCCGCCTTGCCCTTATCCAATCCTTTGTGTTTTTATCGATACTTTTTGATACTCATATGATTGAATTAATCATCGGAAATTCAGATTTTCACGCTATCTTCATAATTCCAATTTTCTTGTAAATCTTAGCCCACTCAGTTTTTCACTTTACAGATCTAGTAATTATCAGTCAAATTTTCCAAGCTAATTTCATGTAGATCAGTCGGTGCTGAAGTTATTAATAATTGATTGGTAAACAATACGTTTACTTACCAGCTATGGATGGTGTGAAAATGAAAGACAAAAGCCAGATAGAGAAGATCATTGGAAATTAAATTAAAGTTGGATTGATTGCTGAAGGCCTAAAATATTTTTTCGGTGTATTCCATTTGGTGAACAAAAGAGTCAAAAATTGTGATTGAACCTGGAAATACTCAACTTTATTGAAAGTAAACCACTAGAGAAATATTTTGATTTAACATCAAAAGCAAACAGTAAAGTAACCTTTTAATATGAATGGTTTTAAATAATCAAAGGAAAATCTACTCTCTCCTGATTCGATGTAAATTATCAGTTAAACAAATCTGATTGTCTATTCAATTTGTTACCATTTAACTTGATTCTAAATTGTCATCAAGATCTAAAATCAACTACTACAACAATTCTATTCCTGTTCGATTACCAATTACGCCTCCAAAATGAGTAAAAATATTTAATTATCTAACATGGGATGTGAAATACTGAGTTACTTGAACAATTCTTGCTTTCAGAAATGAAGTGTAAAAAGAGTAGCAAGTTATCATTGATTAGCCAAATAACTAGTAGCCAATTATTACAATAATTGTAATATTCAATTAGATAAAAGCAGATTCAGTTCAAGGGGATAACATCATTAAATTAGATCGCTGATTAAAACAGACAATTACTAAGAACGAAACTTTCAGTTAAATGAAATGTGAAATTATCATAGTGATTATCAAATTAATAAGCCTTTGCTCGCCGGGTTTAGCTAATTGACAATCTATTTTATTTAACAATAAGTTTAATTGATTTCTGTTTTGTTGCCTTAACCATAAAATATCGAGTCAAACATATTGTGATTATTTATGGAAAAATAATCTTTCCAATCACCTTTTACTCTTTTAATAGTTCATGGATCAAATTAATGTTTCAACCAGACAGATGATTCAATTAATCTTATTGATAAACTACCAAACACCTAATTGGAAATAGTTGACTAATTAATGGCGAATAATTACAACATTGATTATAACATGAGCAAGCTCAAACTAAGATCCAGTCGCTGGCAACAATTCAATGATCCTACTAAATTATGATCTATAATTTTAGTATAAAAGGAGATCGAAATGATTGTGATGATTTAATCGTGTTGCTAAACTCAATTGATTAAAGAAATAACTCCAGCAATTAGAAAAAGTAAAATGAAATTACTAATCACTTTATTTGTCGCCCTTTGTTTTGTTGCTAGCCTTGCTTCAGGTAAACACAAATTTTTTAATTCACTAATAAGAATCATTTGATTGATCCAATATTTTGATTTATCCTTTCTTTTAGCAACCTCGCGTCTTCGACGAGAACGAGCTTATCGAGATGGATTATTAGACGGACTTGGAGTTGATTACGGACGTTATTCTGATGATGATGTTTATTACAGACGAGGTAATCGCCGGTTCAGAGACAGAGCTGACTACTATGCATCCCGACCAGTTGTGTCTGTTCCTAGCTCTGCTGGCTCAGCTGCTGGACCAGATTCAAGTACTGCTAATGTTGTTCTTGGTGGCTCTCGAGGTACTACTCTCGGAGCTCGAGCTGGATCTGAACAAAGCTATGGGTCATCACGAACCAACGCAGAAGCTTATGGATCAAACTAGAAACATGAAGAAATGAACGGAACACTTTATATTTTTTTCGTTCCATCATAAAAGAAATTATTATTGTATTATAAAGACAGTTTGTATTCATTCGTAAAATGAAAAATGAAAATAAAATTTCAAATTCAGTACGAAAAATCTCGCATTTCAATATTATTATTTTTGCCATTATGCTTTGCTTTTCAATTGTTGTATATTCAAACCATTTATACTTGAGGATTAAACCATTTTGCTTAATGGAACTTAGCAAAGTGGAAATTTCAACCAATTTACGATTTAACGTTTCAAAGTAATTCATAACAGAAATCCCAATCTAACTATCAAGTGAATTCGGAGGTTTACGGCCCTTTTCATATTAAGGACCAGTCAAGTCTTGTACAGCATGCAAGCTGTTGTACAGTAATGTCCAGTATTTACAAGTCAATCGACTTTCCATGTAATTGCTCGTAAATTTTTAACTATGGTTGTTACAAAATTATCACGAAAAAGACGGACAATGGCTAAATCATTTACATCAAGATTAATCCAGATAAACAATGAACTTTACAGTCGTGTTTTTTATCCGCAATCAAAATAAATCGTTTTAAAACAATTTAAATTTGTAACTTCAACAATTTTATTTTACCTGTGGATTAAATCAAGAATGAAAAATTGAGACATAAAATCAAACAAAAGGAAAAATGGGAAAATAAAAATAGATTTGCAATTGAATTGTTAATAAAAAGAAATTTAAATGCACAATTAACTTAACAAGTGGAAAAATCATGTTGTTGCCGAATATTACCAATGGTATTTTGTATCATTAAAGTTCAATAAAAAGTTGATTTGTGGGCAGCTTTGAGATTGTTTTGTGTAAAATTTCAATCTAAACGAAAATTTCGCTTTATTTTGTTGAACAGAGAGATCAACGTCGAAATTCATGTAATAAAAAAAGTGGAAAATTCTGATTTGATTGGTTTTAAACAATTTTAAAATTCTGAAATGAGAAGGCAAATATTCTTAAAAAATAAATTCATGGTTTACCAAAGAGGCTTTTTAAGATGATAACCTGTTCGGAAAAAAGATTGGACGACAACTTTGCGAGGCTGTAAATGCGCTAATATGCAGACAAAATATAAAATTTTTAGATCAGATCATCTGTCAAACATTCACGTTTACAATTCATGACATTTTACCGTTTTACTCAGAATAGGTCTCTTTTGAGACAAAATTTTTCATTTGACGGCAGAAATATGGTTTATCAAATAGTTTAGACCTATTTTTGGCCTTTCCAATTTGCCCATTTTGATAATTAACCTGTGAATGACCATATTCACCTATTGCTACTTTAAACATCATTTTCTTTCCAAATTTCGGTTTTTCACGAAACCTAACCGCATCAGGTACATTTTCAATGCGCTCAGAGAAATGCAAAGAAATATAAAATGGAAAAACATTTTCTTGCTCTGCGCTGTTCCATGTTCGATAACTAACTGAATCTTCTGTCAAGAAATTTCAAATTTTCACCAGACATTTTTCATACTCTTATTTACAAATCTACAAAAAACTGTTGAAATATTCTCAATATTTTAACGGCTACTTCGATTTGCCACATCAAAGTTAACGTCCAATCTTTTCTCCGAACAGGTTAATACTGTAAAAATACAAAAGTGATTTTGGATGAAACTTTGGGTGAGATTAATATAGATCTAAACATTATTCAATTGTGTTCCAAACTTCAGCTGAGACGTAGATTCATTAACTGGAATAAACAGCCTTATGATGACGATCAAATACACAATAATTCATAAGGTAAATGTTATTATCCGCTTGAGGTTATCGTATTAATGATAAATTGTTGCAATTGTCTTTTCATGTTGTTTTTCTGTCTTTCACTAAGCAGAAAACATGAAATGTGAAAATAACTTGAGTATAAAAAGAGATCCGAAACCGAAATTATCTCATAAGTCGTCATCATTATTGAATCAACAATTTGATCTTTATAGTTAATCAGAATGAAATTTTTTATCGCAATTTGTGTCCTTTCATGGGCTATGGTAGCTTCAGGTAAGAGTTAAATGATTTTTTTCACTTTTCTAAACATTATTGACATTCTTGTGATCGGAGTTATGAATTGAGTTTTAATATAATTTTGTTTTAGCCCATTATGGAGCTGGAATCGGAGCAGGTATCGGCTCATATGAAAGACCTGGTTTTGAAGCATCTGGTATTGGAGCTGGAATCGGAGGTGGAGATCGTCGAGTTGGAGTCGGAGCTGGTCTTGTTAATACTGATAATTTTGAAGGAGTTGGAGTAGGTTTTGGTGGTGGAAACCGTGGTCGAGGTCGAGGAGGAGTTGGTGTTGGTGTTGGAGTTACCAAGAATGAAAATGGTGATGCTGATGGTGTTGCCATTAAGTTCGGTTCCGGTGGTAGAGGCTCACGAGGTAATGGAGGTGGTATCTTAGGTGCTGCTTCTTCAATCTTGGGTGGAATTGGTTCCATTGGTGCTGGTGCTATCCGTGGTGTATTCGGTGGTGGTGATGGTGGAAGAGACCGAGTCGTTGAAGTTGAAAGACGACCTCAACCACAGGTTATTTACGTTGAACGAGAGAGACAAGCACAACCTCAACCTCAAGTTATTTACGTTGACCGAAACCAAGGTAATCAAGGATCAGGCTCTGGTTCAGGCTCCAATGGACAAGGTTATGTAAACCAACAACGAGGTGATGGCGAAGGTTCATCCAATGGTCAATCAAACCTTGGCGGTGGTTACGGTGGCTCTGCCAACTCAGGATCATCAGCTAATGTTCAAGCCAATGGCGGTGGCCATGGTGGTTACAGTGGCTCTGCCGATTCAGGATCATCAGCTAATCTTCAATCCAATGGAAATGGTTATGGATCTGGTTCAGCCAACTCCAACTCTCAAGCCGGTCTTAATTTCAACGGTTTTGGTGGAGGTAACCTTAGAGCATCTGCCTCATCTAACGCCAATGTTGGTTTCGGATATTAATACAATTAAATCGTTTGTAGATAATACTTATGATATAATTGTCCAATAAAATTTATTATTTTTCCATAAATTTCTTTTTGATTTCGCATTAAAGGTAAAGCAAAAATTGGAAAAACTATTATGTTTACTGACTAACTCAATAGGTATCAATGAAGCTCAAAAGTTTAACTTAAAGTACACTGACAAAAAAGCTTTATGACCAAAGAAAATATTAGTCACTTAGAAAAATTTGATTCCAATCAATAGATTACATACATCTCATATAAATATATATTGAACTAATAAGCTAAAATTTTTGAACTACGATAAAAAATTAAATTGGTTAAAGCTGAACCAGTTGTTGCAAAACTAAGACCAAAATTGAAAAAAGCATTAAAAATTCTCAATAGATTCATTATTTGTAGTTAAGAATCTTCAATACAGTAGTAGTCAGGGTTAAATTAACAAAAAAGGGTCAGAGTCAAGTTAATTTTCAGGCATTTTGAGCATATTTAGTTTGTAGAGATAAGCTTCCTGGACTATCCCATCCTCCTTTCCTGATGGACTCTCTGGTTAAGCTGCATAAAACATAGCGTCTATGGGTGGGTAAAATACCGAGGTAGTAAGGGTGAATGGGGCCTTAAACGAAGGCCTCGGTCTGCATAAGCAAAAGTTAACTTAACAATGACCATTAATGTGAATTAAAAATGATATTTTGGTTCCATTATTTTTGACATGACATTTTGCATTTCTTTGCTGTTTCTAAATACATATTTTTCATTTTTATAAGTTAACAAAATAATCTATGGCAATTGATTTACATAGTAATTAATTTCTTTTTTTTGCATACATAGTTAATTTATATATGAATAACTCTATGATTTTGTTAAGGATTTAATTTTTACACTATTTAAATTTTTTGCGTTAATGTAGGTTGTAGAGTGGCAATTTTAATTGCAAAAAATTCATGGAAAATAATGGACTTTTGAACGAATAGATGGGCCGCTTTGCGATCAGTAATAATAATTTTTGCTGCTACAGTCGATGGTAGAGATAATATTGTTGGTGACTTAGACTTTCGAATGTGTGTGCGTGAATTCAGTTGTTAGCTTAAATAATGAATGAATCGGACAATTTGAGATGGCTACGTTAACAATTTAGGTGTCGGTGATTTTAGATTAAAGTATGATATTCGTTTCCTCTCCATCCTCGTTACAGTCTTGGATATTGCCTCTGCCATGTGAGTTAAAATCTTTTCAAATTGATTAAAGTTTCAATCAGGATGTGTAATCAAAGAACTGCCTTAATAATGGCTTGTTTTTCTCGTACATTGCTTCAACGTCAGGGAAAAGCTGGAAGGATAAAAATGTGGATTAGTTGAAATATCATAGTTGAAATGCTAATGAAGCAAATGAAATTTACTTGTTCGTAATTGAGATCCATGAATAATTCTTGTAAAAAACGTCGAGCTGGTAAACGAAAGTTGTAAGATGCGAGCTGAATGCTGATTTCGGAATAAAGGCAGATGTCCTGGAAAGCCATTGGATATTTCTGTTTTAAACTGTGAATATAAAATTAGAAATAATTAATTAGAAATAGTTAGATAAGTAAAGTCAGAATTTATATAAATTTTACCTCAATAAATTTTGTTCAGCAAGTTTGATAACTTCAAACCATCCTAATAAATAAGATACAGATCGAATCACTTCTCGTCTCATCTCAGCAATACACTCCACTCTTGAATTTTTTGGTAAACTGTTATTCCCTGAGTAATAAGAAAAAAAGGTTATTTTAATGTTTTCATAAAAATGGCAATTATTATGAATAATGAATGTAATGAATTAATGAAAATTACTTATTTCTGGGCTCGATGATGCACAACTCGGGAAATAAGGTTCTTGAAGTGTTGCTTGTTTTTTATGCATGTCATATTTTTCGGAGGATGAAGGGTTATCTTCATTTTCATGATTTACTTCATTATCAGTTTCTAATGAATAAAGAAAAATGGTCCAACATTAGTATTTAGTTTAACAGAGACTAAGAAATCAATAAAATACCTTTGATAACTTGAGATGAGAGATTTGCTTTGCTATTGAGAGTCTGGGCGTGTGAACAAAGTAAACAGTTTGTTGAGTTATGAAATTCAAATCCAGATTCATCAGCTAATCCTCGACGAGAACTAGAGGTAATGTTTGGTTTATGATTGATCCGAGTTTGATATTTATCATTTTGTCTGACGAGATGGTATTGGGTTAAATTGGATGATGGTTTACGATCTCTTTCATCTTCATCTTCATTTCTCTCGTCTTTATCCTGAAAAATATCAATTTAGAAAATTTTTGCTATTACTACAGAAAGAATAGTAATCAAGGTATAGTAAAGAATGAATTAGCAAGAAAAACACGAACCTTTTTGTGGAATATTAATTCCAGATCAATAGGTAGACAGATTCCCATATAACGAACGTTTTCCCAGCCGAAATTTTTCAAATAATCTGCTCCAGCATCAGTAGTTGCAAGTAATCCGAGAACAAAAAAGCCAGTTCCACGTATAGATAAAACCGGAGAATCACGGGTTAATTTAACAATGGTTTCTATAATTTTGGACTCGGCTATCAATTTAAATCCGGTTGGAGATGATCCAACAGTTCCTATTGCCCAGAGAGCTGCTTTCAGTTGAAGGACAGATAATTCGGTACTCATGTTACTATCTCGTATCGTTTCAAGCATTGGTCCAAGAAAATTTTCCTGTATAATTAAATTGTATCCATCTTCCTGTTTAACTAATTCACCATATAAATGAGCCGGCAGATAGACACTTTTCTTGTAATTTGTTTTCTTATCACTTCGACGTCCATATGATCCGTGCTCATTTCGCTGATGATAAGACAAAGCTTCATTTAATGAGTTTTCAACAATTCTAACATATTTTAGATTAAAATATTTTCGCCAACGATCGATTTCGTAGCTAAGAAAATTGGTATCACGAAGAAATTTGAAACCATTAGGTATGGAAAGATAACGGATTAGAAGAAGAAGACCTCGATCTCCAACACGGAGCAAGTTTGGTTGAAGGCTTATAAGTGCTTCCAAATTTTCAATAGAATCACAGGCCTCGTCAAGTATATCAATCGCTGCCAGAACAACAGCTTGGCTTTCATCGGAAAGTTGTTGAGTTAACAGTTCAAGAGCCCACTTACGAAAATCACTAAAACCAGCACGTAAAAGAACTCGAATGTAATTGGTAGCATATAAACGGGCGGACTCCATTTTACAGGTTAAAATTTTAATAAAAAGGGAACGTGATAAGTTATCTGAATGGCAGTAATTAAGACTGGAGACAATCAGTTTCAGATAACAGTCATTGTTTACGTTGTCCACTAGGTCTTCTAATTGTTGATAAATTCCTATTTTTTCTAAAAATTTAGATCCTTTGGCAGTTGCTGTGAAACGTCCAATAAAAAGAAAATATGTGTGACTCCAAGTTCTCAAGATATTGGTACAGTTCAAAATAGAATCGGGCATAGCATTGCTCTCACTGGTTACTTGGGATAAACACTCCCTTATATCACCAAGTAGTTCCCAAATGTACTCGGAAACTTTGATTTCGTCACATTCCAATAAAAAATCAATCAGATAGGTGCCGACCGTTGATATCTCGTAACCATTTTCATCATCAGTTCGTAGCTTTGAAAACAAATGGCTGGTAGGTTTAAAGTAATTTAAAATTTGTTTCACAAAATTACGGTTATTTATATCATCCAATTTTCTTATTGAATCACTTGGCGATTTTAAAATGCACCCAATCAAATTCCAGTCCCATTTGTTTGGATCACTTTTTAAAACTTGACTATCACGAATGTAGATTATCAGAGTTGCCTCGTCGTTTTCTTTACGATTACTGTTCAAAGAATAGAATGATGATGAACGATTTTTGAATTTGAAAGACAAACTTTGATTTGATTGATGAGCTTTACTTGACTTATGAGAATAGAAAGAGGTTGTGGTTGCTGAGTTTACTATTGAGGTAGAGGTATCGTAAGTTGACGATGGTGATGACAAGAATGAGAGTGATGATCCTTTGGATGATGATGCTTTGCAAAAGTAAATTAATTGATTGAGATAAAGACTATGAGGTATGGTACGACTTTTCTTTGTCGCATGTATACGATTAAGGCAGTTTATAGCGCGACTTGCAATGTCACGTTGTTCTGGAGTATTATCTGTTGACAGGGCTGCTTCAACTAGTTTAGGTAAAGAATAATATTGTTGAGCCAGTTCAGTAGGTAATAAATGACTTGAAAGATGAAGCAATTCACCAACTAAAAGTATAGCTCTTACTGAATTTTCGGTATCACTGGGAACAATAATAACATCGACTAGACCATCGAGAAGACCATTGGTTAGGAAAGTATATAAAAGAAGGGATAGATAATTATCTATTAAATTAGTTCGTTCTTTAGAGACGTGAGGTAAGATACACCGTCCTTCAGCGGCAACAAAACCATCATATAGATGCCAGTTATCTTGAATAACTGATGAACTACAGGATTCTAGAGCTGCACTAAAGTCTGCGGTCCATGAAGGTACAGTTAAATAAAATAATTCAAAGACAAGTTCAATTATGTGTTTACGAATATCCTTATAGGGAAGATGAAGCATCTCAATCAGAGAACAAAGACTGTTAAATGATTCTGGGTTGTCATTCAGTTTACAAATGTAAATTATTCCAGGCCATGAGCGTAAGATAGAAATAAGAGCTATTTTGGCAGTATTTAGTCGAGTTTCTCGTTGTTCACTGGTTTCACTAATATCATCTCTCCGTTGAGTATTCAAAGCCAATAATGGTAATGAGTAATGACAGTCAGTAAAAGGTGCGACAAATTGTCGTAGATCAATATCTTTTCTCAGGTAACATCTTAATCGAGGATCATTGAGGATAAAAATAAGACACCCGACTAATGCTTCACTGATATGGAGAGATTGGTGGGTCATTAAAACACAATCGATTAGAGCGGTTATTCCACCTGATTGACAACAAACCAGAGGATTGAGAAGAATCAGTTCACCAAGACATCCCATACATGCTCGACACATAGAATCTTCATCAGGTCCAATGAACCCGTCCCTTGCAATGGCAATCACACTTCTCATGATAGCCGGTGGTACAGCTTCAGGTTTCACAGCTAATAATTTACGAACCAATCTAAGACATTGTATCCGTTCTGCTAAGTTATTTAATTCAATATCAAGGGACCGGGCAATTAAAATGTGAAAATTTATTCTATATAAAGCTTCAACAGATTCTTTGTCGGTCAAAAGATATCGCACGGCTCGAAGACCCGCTGCTCTGACTTCTGCTGAATCTATGAATAGAGTAACACGAAGGCTGTAAGTCAAAAAAGTAATAAATATATAAAGTTAGTGCACAGAATAACCAACAAATTGCAATAAATATGAAGGTTATCACAACAAACAGAATAAAATCAATTGCTGTCGATAATCCACTTTGAATTGGTGAAATAAATAAAGAAACAAACAAGACTAACCAATATAATATTTCCTCGACTGAAAAACCAACAGTCTCTGAATTTATGACATCCACTTTGCTACAAAATTTGGTAAAAAAATTGAGATAACTAAGTCTTTGGCCATTGGTTATGCCGGTTTTCATACAGATACTAGATAATATTGTTTTTAAATTTTCTCTTGGTCCTGAAAAAGAAAAAGAAACATTAGGAATCACTCAGATGAGAAAAATTATCAAAGGAATGAAGTACGACATTTGACGAGAAACATTTTAGAGCTGAAATGTAAAAGGTCATAAAAATTGATTCTCACAGTATAGGGATTTAAAGACAATCATTTGACAATAATTTGACAAATTATTTGGCAATAAAAAAGGATTGAGGATTTGAAGTCATGAAGCAAGTCAACAGCCGAAATTTGAGTACACTCCAATAGATGGATACTTAAGCCTTTAATAGACTCTGGACAAAATTTTGATATTAAAGATGAAATTGATGAGATAAATTTACCTTTAGACCAATCAAGGATAACATCTTTGTCCAATGTCTCTTTCCTTGCTACACAGGGAATACAGGTAAAGGTGTAAAGAAATAAACAAAAATTATATAAAAAAGTGTATCATCAAAACATTACCATCACTAACAGTATAAATAAAGAAAACCGGTGACTTACCTTTACCTCTCACGGACCTACCACTACGGATATTCCGGCTTCGGTTGACAATTGAAGACATGATTATAGATGAACTAATTGGATAGGACTGGTTTCTCTGTTTATTAATTCGAGAAGCCAGAGAACAGAGAAACAAAGAGTACAGAAAAAGACTAAAATTATTGTAAATAATGGTTGATTCTGGATAATGATGTACGGTGGCGCTTGTAGTAAGACTGCCTTACTTTTTAAAATTAATCTTTCTTTTTCTCGGACTTTTCCCTTTCTTTTATTAATAAAAAAATTCATATTTAAAATTTTTCTCATTAATTTTGCACAGAATGAATGTTCATTTTGGTGGAATGAATATTTAAAATATGTGTAACCCAATTTCAACTTCATGTTTACAGCTGAAGCAATCTGTAAACATTTTATAAAACCTCCGAAAATTGAAAAATTAAATTCATGAAGAGTCGCAAAAGCGCAAAAATTAGACTTCGGTAGCAATGAGTCAGTTTGGATTGTATTTTAGCTTCGTTTAAACTCTAATAAACTCCCATCGAATCATTAAAATAACAATCTTCAGTATTGGTTTTTAATAGCGAAATTTCACTTTCCTTAAGAAATATTAAATCCTAATTTATCATCAGACTAAATGTTGACCCATAAAAGAAGTTGAAATTGAATGGAGTTGGCATTTTTCAACCAAAATCATCTGTTTGAGAAACAAAATTGTAGATATTTTTATATTTTTGTTATTATACGATAAACACACCTTTAATCAAAATCCTAAATCTGATTGATAAGCAATTATGCAACTATCATTGAATTTCAACCTTTTTCAATTGCGTTACATCAAGAAATGGATGTAACCAGAAAAAAAACAAGTTCATTCTTTATTTCAACAAGATGGGATAAGGATCATTAAAGGATTCAACATTTATTGCCCAAATAGATTGACCTTAAAGGTTAACCTCGTAGGGTTAAGTCATAATTGATTCATCTTTAAAGACAGGAAAAGTTGCTAAATAATGTAAAAATAGCGTAAAGTCAATGTTAATGGCAATGCTAGATGTAAGATATACTGTTATTATGTATTGAACCAAACAAAATTTCACCGTATTTTCATAATAACGTTTTATAACGCTAGTGTTATAATTTAATGGTTGCCGAATAATCAGCAAATTCAGATTAAAATATTCGCATCGATCATTGGTTTCAAGTTCATTGTTCAACAGGATATTATGATACGAATATGATTACAATCAAATTATGTCTGTTCAATTTAGAATCTTCATAATCAATTTTGGTTTTTTTTTCAAAACTCATTGTAACAATTAAATTTTGTTGATATTGTTTTGCTGCTTGAAATGGTTTATTTTTAATCAACCTTTCAAGTTTCAGTTACCCAATAATACATAACACATTATTTCTCGTTATTTACATTTTTACCCTCTTAAACAATTGTTTTTTACTGTTATTTGTAAACAATTTACTTGATCACAATCAATATTCAATCAACCCAGATTGCTAAATTGATCCTGATTTCATCTCATATGGTTGAGTTAGTCAATAGTTGATAACACTATTAGGTGGTTTAAAGCCATAAAATAATAATAACTGGTAAAGTTGATCGATAACTCAAGATTTTTGTATTATTTTTGCACAATCCAATAAGCTTTTACTAATAACTGAGGCATCTTTTTTAATTATCAAGATTATGTTACATTGTTAAACCATGATCCATTTGAAAAATGACAATAACAATGATTCAGTTTCATTAACAGTAAAAGTGAAAGATTGATTAGCGATTAGCAAAATGATTTTTTACATTCTATCACCAGCAATTTAATCTTATGGAGTCTTCCGTAATAATCTGTTCATATTGACAATAGAGATGAAAGTCAGTCAGAATGAGTAACAATGTTGAACTCTTTGAATAGATTCAATAGTTGTTATCTAATCTGATAAAAAAGTCAACAAATAAATTGTTATCAATTAGCATCATAGTTGGTCAAGCATATTGTCAAAGTTGCTTTCCAACAGGACTGGACACTATGGCGAGTTAAAACGGTGAATGCAATGAAAGTCAGTCAAGAATCTGGTTAATTTTAGTTTTTCTGGTTTCTAATACAATACTGGAAGCATTTTCAGACAAGTTTGAGACATTATTATAATGGCAGCTTTTCAATGCGAGTAATTAAATCATTTGTAATTAAAAAATCTCAATAATACTTAATACAGGAGGCATTTGAAACTTACGTTTGCGATAACCATTATGGCTGGTTTTGTGTTTAGATGAGAACAACAATCCAAATAATCCTTTCAAAATAATATTCAGTGTTCACAAAGCTGAAGACAATTTTATCCAATGTTTTGCATAATTATTTCATAGAGCGTTGTAATTAATTTGCGGTTATCGAAGTAAACAATCAAAGAAATCAGTCAGAATTTCTTTCTTTTACAAATGATAATTAATTTCATTTCTTAAAAAACTGGTAATTGGTACGTATCATATCAATTATCACAAATAATGAAAAACCCAAATTCACATCACTGAGGATAAATCATTACTCCTAAAGTCACAGGGATAAGAATGGGAAAAACAACAAGCACATCTCATTTGTTACTTATCTGCATTATTACTGATCATTTTTCAATTACAAATTAGGTTGAGATTATGTTATTGCTTATTTATGTTAATTTGATACACAAAATATGGAATAATTGAAGCAACGATAAAACCGATGAGCACAAAAATTATTCAAAAATTAATGTCTATACTATACAATAGATAATGAAAATTTTAAAAAAACTTCCAATAGCTGTTTGTTTGATCAACTTATAGATGGCAGTCTCAAGTTGAATGTTTTGATTCATTTAAATCAGTTTTCAATTTGTAGATTTAGATCTCAATAATTTGGATGTTTCTTAATTATTTATATTAATGTTAACAAGTGATAAGACAATTATCTGTTGAAATGTCTAAAGTATCCAAATATGCAAATTTACCGTACATAGCCTGGGATGAGCCTGAGGTTTATGAAACACCTGATTTACCTGAAGCTGACCAGGAGTTTATCAAACGTAATGTTGATATAGCCGAAGCTATTGGAGGAGATGATACAAATGAATCTATTCAAATCATCAACATTGATGCCAAGGCATCGTTTGAGAAATTCAGTTCTTCAGAGTGTGGAAATTTAATCAGTGAACCAACCACTGAAACTCCCTTACAACAATATCAAAGATTAGATGCTGAGGTTTCTGTATTGGCTGACACATTGGATTATATTCAAAAGAGTCGAGAAGGCACAAGCCAAGATTTTGGTTAGTAAAGATTTTAATGTTCAACATGAATGTTCATTTTGTTACATTTTGTTAATAGTTTTTATCTTTTGATTTCAGGTGATATTTTGGCTGACATAACTAAACTAGAGGCTAAGCTGAGATCATGTAAACTTACAATTGATGGAATACCTTTAGAACTACAGTTGCAGCCAAGTGGTATCAAAGCCAATGATAGTCAGGAAAAAGTGACAAAGAAAACTGAAGTGAATTCTTTAACAAAGCTTTCTTCTCTTGAAAGTCGAATTAAGAGACTGGAAAATTTATTAGATCATGATGATGATCAGTTAACTTGTATTTATTACTATACAAATGAAAAAAGCTTGGGATCGGCTGTTAGATCAATTAGCAGCAAAGTTTCACTATTAGATGGTAATACATTGGATCAACTTGACCACAGAGTCTCTGCTCTAATACAAAAAATCAATCAGCTGGCCGATAAGAAAAGTTTCTTTGAAGAATCTCAGAGTAAAAGTCGCATAAATGAGTTATATGAGATGGTTTCCAAAGGTGAAAAAAGTACATCAATATTGTATGAATTGGCTGCGAGATTGAACATCTTAGCTGAGATTGAAGAGAAAGCTTTAAATTTTACTTCAGCATTGACCATGATGGAAAGGGCAACAGAAAGTAATGAAAAAAATCTACAGCAACTGAAAACCGAACTATCTGCTTTGCAATCTTCATTCAAAAATTTGGAACAGGACTTTGAAAAACGTATGGCCATGACTGATAAAAGAATTAATGCTCTTAAATAAACTAAGTTTGATAAAATTCAAAACAATTAAAGTCATATTAAATTTCTTTTAATTACTTCAACAGAAGATATTTCAGTTAATTTTATTTTTGATTTACTTGAATTTTTCAAGAGAATAAAAAATTTGCTTCATTTTTCATTTGAAAACAAACTGGGAAACACTTTTTGATGAGCACGATGATTTTTTATTGATGATCCTTGGACAGATTATGATTTACATCATGACTTTTCAAATAATTGAAAAAGTAAGGAATAACGAAGTTTGATTTATTCTTTGATTTCTGTGTGAATTTAATTTCACAGTGAAATAGGGTTTAGACTTCTGAATGTTTCACTTAATCTGCCTTAACTTATTTCCGAGTGAAACACCTCAAATAGTTTTCCTTGTCTTTTGTAGGAAAATTATTATTTAACATTGAAGTAGTTTGTTAGGGAAATAAGAGATTTCAAGAAAATCGAAGATCTAGTAAATTCAAAAATAGTTAAATTTACCTGAAAGAGCTAATTATATACTTTAAGGGATCAAAATTGATACTCATAGTTTGATAACAATATGTGGAGGTGGGCAAAGAGGAAAAAATTATAATTTTCCAATCAAACCTAGAGACAATTAGAAAAAAAATCAAATGGTATGCGCGGTCAAAGTTTTTATGGCATCAAAAGGTTGTTTCTTGTTTTTAACACTAAAATGTAGCGGCGATGGTGAAAATAGAGAGAAGTGAAAAGCTGATGTATTTCTCGAGTGCCCAGGTTAGACCAATACTTTCTTATGGATAGGATGCTTGGTGCTGTGTAGCTATGAGAGCAGCACGAATTTTTGCGACGAATTCAGGATCAGTTTGAATGAGATGGATGAGTACATTTTTCAACTGGTCAGTTGGTAATTGAGGATCATAAACGTTCGATTGTTGGAGCGAACGGCTGGTAGATGCTGATAATTGAAGTCTAGAATGGTCTGGATTATTGGAAAGTGGTTTACTGGATTGTCCATAGATGTAAAGGTCATCGATTGGAGGGACTAGATCATTTGAACTTGTAAGAATTCCAGTATTTTGTTTTTCGTTGTCTCGAAGGAGAGATTTGTCTTTTGATCTTTCTTTTATCATTGCTGGAGTTAACATTTCATCTTCAAGGGTATCGCTAGGAGCAAGAGGTTCGCCTGTTTCATCGTTTTTCGCTCTTTCCAAATCGTAGATTAAATTTATTGGAGCAAATTGATTTCGAGACATAGCTCGTGGTGTGTGTCGAGAGTCAGGTATTGAAGATTGTGAGACATTAGCTCCTTGTGCTAATGACGCTGCTTGAGCAAAAAGATCTTGAACATTTACCGATCTACCACCGTTTTCTAAGGATTTCTGTTTATCGATACTATTACTAGGAGTACTCATCAGCTCACTTGGTTCTATATTTTTACCGTCACTGTGGACATTAGAATCTATTCCCTTAGAAGCACTCTTCGAAACAGTAACGTTTTTAATCCCAATTTTAGCTGTTGATGAAAATGAAGAAGATATTAATTAACACCTTAATAAAAAAGAAAGCTTGAGGAACTGCTAGAATGAGAAATGGTGAGTCTGAGATAACTTACCCAATGTATCAACAAAAGAGTCAACCGGTTGGGCGACTATGTCACCACTGTTGGGACCATTTTTAGTTAAACTTTCTAGTTCATTAATTAACAGCGAGGCTGTTTCTGCACACTCATCGTTTACATAGAACCAAATGCAGAAAATTCCTCTTTCAAGATTCTTCAACATTAAATATGGTAATTCAACTTTAACGTCAGTTTCCTTAGTAATGGGCAGAATCAAATTACTGGTTTCTAACCGATTCATGACATATAAAGTAGTTCGAGGATATATCGATCTTCTAACCACATGTAATGGTCCTTCAATTGGAAGTTTATTCCATTTCTTTGCATCGATAGCAAATTGGTAAACAGTTACAGCAGAAGCAGTGGAAAGAATCTCCTTGATGGAATCATCCATCCGTCTCAAGTTTCGCAGGTTAATCTCATCACGGCCCTTGTCACTCCTTTGATTGGACATGGTTATCACTTATTGCTCTAACGATCACAAAAAAATTGACAGCAACAGAAAAACTCAGTTAAGATTATGAAGACAATAACATAAATAAACCTAATGTGCAAATGAAAATTGAAAAATACTTATTGTAGAAAATTGAATTAAGCAAAATTCCTAGAGATGGCACCACAAAAAGTTATTCGGCGCTCAAACGCTCAAAGAAATAAAATTGGATTAATAAGAATTTATTATCCCTGTGGATTGAAGAGAAATGATTCACATTGTTGTTAATATGGGGGTTTTCATGATTTTTAATAAATGCGTTTCAACGAATAATTAAATTTACCAATACATTTTATTTGCTTGAAAATTTTGAAATTGTGATGATTGTTATGATATGAAAAAAGTTCAACAATGAGTTTGATGGTTTGACAATTCTTATGCATAAAATTGATGCACTCCTTTTATTGAGATATAACAAACTTAATATATCAGTGTCTGAATAGCAGTGTATTTTGCATTAAAAACCATCCTTACGGCTTTCCTTGAATGGTCATGCCGATAATCCCTGATGAACTTTTTAGTTGCCCTCACAATAGATCGTAAATAATCACTATCACCAGTAGATACATTCTTAACAGCACGGTTCAATAAATGATAGCTGCAAAGTAAGATCATCAAATAAAATTGGATTAGTTTAAGTCCATTAGGAATGAAAGTGATTACAAAAACTTACGGGTACAATTTCAAATCAGCTTTGTGAACACCAAATTTTACTTTACAAGGATAATCAGGATAGGTTGTTAAGTCCAAACATAGCACCACCCATAATGTGTATCGTAAACCATAAGTTTCAAGTGCGATCCTGTGTGGGATGAATAATCATAATTATAGCAACAATTTTATATTATGTTCAATTATTTAAAAGAATAAAAATAAGTTACTTACTCGAAAGAGGTTATATCCGCATTGATTATTTTACATTCATGCCTTAAACTTAACTCAGCTAACTCCACTGTCAAAGCTTCGAGGCGATTGAAAATTTTACACAACCCTTTCAAAACATCATTCAGCATCACTGGTGTTGTGATACATGTATCTTGTTTGAACTTCTCAAAGCGAGCTTCTGCCAAATTTTTAATAATTTTTATTAGTTTTGCATCTCTTGGTTTGGTTAGCAAATGGACAGCTTCATCACTTATTCGCGTCCAACCCTTTTCTTTTATGTTTTGGTCAATAAGACATTGTAATGAAATTTCATTCATGATAACTTCCAAGTTGTCCTCATCTTGTAAATCAAATTTGATTAAAACTTTAAAATTTCCTCTCAAAAAGGTGAGTAAAGCATAATCTTCGTTTATTTCTGAAATAAACGACCACAATCTAGCATCGATGGAGGCCGAGTTAAGCATTTTTCTGACAGGAGAAGGAGCTCTATTGTCGATGAAATTTAGAGTGTTATCAACTCCTTCTTCTTCTTCATCTACTTCGATGGAATCATCATTCAATAAGTCAGCAGCAAAAGTTGTGCTTTGATGATACTGTATCATTGATTGATCCGGAGTCGAATCTTCACAGCTCAATTGAAGGACAGATTTTTCATCTACGTAGATCAAAACTGAATCATAAAATGTATCACCAATATCTTGTTGCATGGCTGAAGGAGATAGTGATGGAGATAACGGAGTTGTTGATTGTGATGGTAATGATTGTGTTGAAAATGATGGTGATGGTGATTGAGCTACCAAGGATAAATCTTGAGAAGAAAATGATGAAGTAGGTGTTTGTTGTTTTGCCTGTACAAGAGCTCGTTGAAGTGTTTGTTCTTTCGGTGTATTATTGCTTTGTGGCACTGCATCATCGATATCGCTTGGTATGGCTGAATGAATAAGAGATTTAGACAACGGAGTTGTTGATTGTGTTGAAAATGATGGTGATGGTGATGGTGATTGAGTTGATTGTCTCCCCGAGATCGATGGTGATTGGGATAATGGTGATCGAGTTGGTGGCGAAAGAAATTGTTGCGAGAGTTGCGATAAATGGGATAATTCCATCTCATTTGTGTCATAAACTGTTTTGTTGAAAATTGAGTCCGATTCATCAATTGCCATCGAAATTAACGAACAATTTTCCTCATCATTGATTTTTTCGGAAAAAATCCTTGTAGAACCATCACTAAGAAGTTCTTGCATCAATAAATTTTTTGAAAAAGATATCCGTTTTCGCTTTTTATTAGTTGTAACTAATTTTGGGTCGAAATTTTCACTAGACATTATAAATCACAAATGTTGAAACAATCAAAAAAGCAATAAAACAATTGAAAATCTTTGTATGCTAACAAATGTTTGTTTGAAAACCATGCAACGGAAAATTTAAACCCATCTCCCGCCTTCATGGCTACTATGGCAGCTTTATTTTGGCGGTTTATTCAAAATAACAAACAAACTATTACAACACTAACAAATGGTTCTTTGAAAGATTGATTAACTTTTTGTGAAGTCAATTACAAGAAAATTACGAACAGATTAATTATTCTTCTACCTTCAATGTGTAAATTTTATTTGAATTGTACTTTTTAATAGCTTATGACCTAAATCGATCAAATATTTGAATTATAACATCGAAATCACTAAATCAATGTTGAACTAAACAAGTTGTCAATCTTTAATTTTACATGTTAATTGCTACATTCAAAATCTCATTTCTTAGCAATGAAAGATGACTTAATGGATAACTGTGTGAGCTGTGTTCAGATTATGGCATATTCGTATTTCGTTTATCCGCAGAATGGTTAAGGGATGCCGTTGAAAATAATAACGACGAAAACAGTGAGATCTTTTTCTAGCCAAGAGTCCCATAAATGTATGACTATGCGTTTTCTCAATGACGGTTGCTTCAACATGAACCAAATCACGGTCCAGTAAAGGTCTTCCGACCAGAGTAAGTTTATCATTACCTACTAGCATTATTTTTTCCAATTTAATTTTATCCCCAAGATTAGCAGGTACATCTTTGTAAAGATAAAACATATCGCCTTCAGTTACCAGCTTTTGTTTACTGTACATATAAACGACTGCAAAATGGCGATCTCGAGAGGTGGCATCAATAGTAGTGTTGACTTTATTGAAAAAGTTTTTCAAATTTGAAGATTCAACTATTTTTGGGTTTGTATGTAGTGCTGTATTTAGAGTCCTTACTATAACTTTAGACACTGCCATTTATCTCTATTGTTAAATTACACCCAACTAAACCAGAGTTAAGTTCAGTAAAAATACACAAATTAGACACACACAAAGATTAGTTAATAGGTTGAAATTGTGTAGATGAACAAGAAAAAGAATTTACAGTTAATCAATTAGAAAAAATTAATTAAAAACACATGATCGATCTCAGAATGCTGAAATTGAGGGACCATTCAATCAAAACAGATGTAAACTCGTATGTAAAATCACATGTGACAACAAATATTTTTTAAATGTTTATTATAAGAATTTACATTCATTGTGTCAATTGGATAATATAGTTCATATATTTGAAATTTAACTGTGCTTAAAGATGTTTACCATTAAGACAATCGTCTCTAGGGCACCACTACATGCTAATCGAGTCACAATCGGGACAAATATGATTGTTTTGTCTGCATCAGCTGCTAGGTATGTTTATTTTGACTTGAATCTAAACACTAAAATTCTTTTTATTTCAGTAATTATTCTCACTAATTCGATCTTAATAAAACTCTCTTGTTTCTTCTTTATTAGTAAAATTACTGGCGTACTTGACAAATCCAGGAATGAGATGGGTCTTGAAGGCTTGCAGTTAAAGCTCATCTGAAACATCGACTCAATCAGCCTAATGCTTGCGAAAACCAAACCAGAATGTTTGTTGCTGAATTTCACTCAAATGCCAACGATGATGATAATAAATGTGATTCGGAAACTGAAAAGCAGAAACAATTATCCGATATACCAGGATTACCTTACACGTTGGATCATCACAGCTATAATATCATAAACGAAGATATTTATATAAAACATAAGGTTGAGACGTACAATCTTATAACTTCTAACTTAACAAAAGAAAGTTTTTCTTCTGATGAAGAAAAATATCAAACAAAAACATCCAAAATAATTGAAATATTTTATTCATTGGACGAAAGCAATAGACCAAAAGAATTACGTGCTCATGATATTGACTACATGGTAAAAATGAAAAGGCCTGCTTTAATAAGAAATTTCGTGAAAAAACTTGCAAGAACAGAGAGGAGCCGTGAAAAAAACGAAGAAATAAGGTCAGAAATCAGGGAAGCCATCATGTCAAGACCCAAGGATGGTTTTGGTGTATGTTATGAAGAATCAGGAAAGCCTGCTTACAGAGTTCATGGCGTTTCACCAATTTGCAGTTGGGCTGCTTGTAAACGGATTCGTCAACATCTTTATACTAAAATAGCCCAATCTAAAATTTTAAATGCTCAGAAAGTTGTTATTGATTTTGATTATAACGACCATATGACGCTCAAAGAACACCTAACCATTACTGCTCAAATCAAAATTTGTATTGGATCTTTAAGAAAATCTCGTGAACCTGTTGATCTATATTTCTGTAATTTTGACCCAACTAGTCCTGTGGCTCGTCTATTGGAATTAGACTTTGGTCCACCTTCCTCTTATCTAGTTGAAGCTACTTCCAAATCTTACTTTGATTTATTTCCAAGAGAAAAATTAGTCTATTTAACTGCCGATACCGACAATGTCCTGCAATATGATCCTGATGATATTTATATTATTGGTGGAATGATTGATGCCCAAACAAATGAGCCTGTTTCAGCGGCCAAAGCTGAGAAGGAAGGATTGCGAACTGCTAAATTACATGTGACAAATATTATTCAAATGTTTATTATACGAATTTACATTCATTGCGTCAATTGGGTAATATAGTTCATATTTTTGAAATTCCACTGTGCTTAATGATGTTCATCATTAAAACAATCGTCTCTAGGGCACCACTACATGCTAATCGAGTCACAATCGGGACAAATATGATTGTTTTGTCTGCATCAGCTGCTAGGTATGTTTATTTTGACTTGAATCTAAACACTAAAATTCTTTTTATTTCAGTAATTATTCTCACTAATTCGATCTTAATAAAACTCTCTTGTTTCTTCTTTATTAGTAAAATTACTGGCGTACTTGACAAATCCAGGAATGAGATGGGTCTTGAAGGCTTAGTTAAAGCTCATCTGAAACATCGACTCAATCAGCTTAATGCTTTCAAAAACCAAAATAAAATGTTAGTTGAATATGATAATGATGGGAATGACAGCGCTTGAGGAGGAACTCCTATTTTAGGTGTTGATCCTAGTAATTTTTGCGGAACTTGTTTTGGATCTTTAAGAAAATCTCGTGAACCTGTTGATCTATATTTTTATAATTTTGACCCAACTAGTCCTGTGGCTCGTCATTTGGAATCAGACTTTGGTTCACCGTCCTCTTATAGCAACCCTCTTATGTCCTGCAATATGATCGTGATGATATTTATACCATTGTTTGAATTATTACTATTACATTGACAAGTCTGTTAAAGTTGAACAAATTGGCATCTATCAAATTATACTTTATTTTTTTTAATTTTTGTGAGATACACAGGAGGAGTAATTAATTTTATTGACGGTAGTATTCGAACTAGAAATATTCTGATAGTTTTTAACATATAGTTTAAGGACCAGTAGTATAAAAGGTCTCAAATTGAAAATGATATTTTGGGTAAAAAAGATTTCCAGAACAAATTTATTTATCATTGGTGCGTATGATGAAAAGAAATTCTGACTGATTTTATTGAATGTTTACGTCGATAATCGAAGATGAACTTTTTAGTTGCTCTCATAATAGATCGCAAATAATCACTATCACCAGGAGATACTTTCTTAACAGCGCGGTTCAATAAATGATAGCTGCAAAGAAAGATTATAAAATAAAATTGGATTAGTTTAAATTTGAATGAAAGTGATTACAAAAACTTACGGGTACAATTTCAAATCAGCTTTGTGAACACCAAATTTTACTTTACATGAATAATCAGGATAGGCTGTTAAGTCCAAACATAGTACCACCCATAATGTGTATCGTAAACCATAAGTTTCAAGTGCGATCCTGTATTGGATGAATAACCATAATTATAGTAACAATTTTATATTATGTTCAATTATTTAAAAGAGTAAAAATAAGTTACTAAGTTACTTACTCGAAAGAGTTTATGTCTGCATTGGTTATTTTACATTCATGCCTTAGACTTAAATCAGCTAACTCCACTGTCAAAGCTTCGAGGCGATTGAAAATTTTACACAACCCTTTCAAAACATCATTCAGCATCACTGGTGTTGTGATACATGTATCTTGTTTGAACTTCTCAAAGCGAGCTTCTGCCAAATTTTTAATAATTTTTATTAGTTTTGCATCTCTTGGTTTGGTTAGCAAATGGACAGCTTCATCACTTATACGCGTCCAACCCTTTTCTTTTATGTTTTGGTCAATAAGACATTGTAATGAAATTTCATTTATGATAACTTCCAAGTTGTCTTCATCTTGTAAATCAAATTTGATTAAAACTTTAAAATTTCCTCTCAAAAAAGTGAGTAAAGCATAATCTTCGTTTATTTCAGAAATAAACGACCACAATCTAGCATCGATGGAGGCCGAGTTAAGCATTTTTCTGACAGGAGAAGGAGCTCTATTGTCGATGAAATTTAGAGTGTTATCAACTCCTTCTTCTTCTTCATCTACTTCGATAGAATCGTCATTCAATAGATCGGCAGCAAAAGTTGTGCTTTGATGATATTGTATCATTGATTGCTCGGGTGTCGAATCTTCACAGCTCAATTGAAGGACAGATTTTTCATCAACGTAGATCAAAACTGAATCATAAAATGTATCACCAATATCTTGTTGCATGGCTGAAGGAGATAGTGATGGAGATAGCGGAGTTGTTGATTGTCTCAGTGAAAATGATGGTGATGGTGATTGAGCTACCAAGGATAAAGCTTGAGGGGAAAATGATGAAGTAGGTGTTTGTTGTGTTGACTGCTCAAGAGCTTGTTGAGGTGTCTGTTCTTTCGGTGTATTTTCCCCTTGTGGTAGTGCATCATCGATATCTTTTGGCATGGCTGAATGAATAAGAGATTTAGACAACGGAGTTGATTTTCTCAGTGAAAATGATGATGCAGGTGTTCGTTGGGTCGTTTGTTTTGAAGAATACTGGAGTGTTTGTTCTTTCAGCGTTTCCTTACTTTGAAGAACTGCATCAACAATATCTTGTGGCATAGTTGAATGAAATATCGATGTAGGTGTTTGCTTTTGTAACCTTTGTGGAGTATCTTGTGTTGTTGTCTCCATCAATGTTTTCTGTAATTGTTGTGATTTCTCCGCTATATCATCTGGTTTAGCAGAAGGAGAATATAATGGAGAATCAGATAAGGGTCGCATTGAATATGATAATGATGGGAATGACAGCGCTTGAGGAGGAACTCCTATTTTAGGTGTTGATCCTAGTAATTTTTGCGGGGTTTGTTTTGGCGTTAGTCGTGGTTGAAGTTGAGGTGTTCTGTGTACTGCTGGTTGTGGTGTTTGTTGTCGCGTCTGTTGTGGTGTTTGTTGTGGAGTTTGTTGTGGAGTTTGTTGTGGAGTTTGTTGTAATGTTTGTTGTGGTGTTAGCTGTGGTATTTGTTGTGGTGCTTGTTGAGGTGTTTGCTGTGGTGTTTGCTGGGGCGTCTGTTGTGGTGTTTGTTGTATTGTTTGTTGTATTGTTTGTTGTATTGTTTGTTGTGGTGATAGTTGCGGTGCTTGTTGAGTTGTTTGTTGTGGTGTTTGTTGTGGAGTTTGCTGGGGTGTTTGGT